AGTTGAGAGGATGAGGAGAGGATGAGGAGGTGATGAAGAGAGGATGAGGAGGTGATGAGAGACTGAGGAGGTGGTGAAGAGAGGATGAGGAGGTGAAGAAGACAGGATAAGGATTTGATCAGGGAGGATGAGGAGGTGATGAGGGAGGATGAGGAGGTGATGCGAGGATGAGGAGGTGATGAGGGAGGATGAGGAGTTGATGAAAGAATGAGGAAATGATGAGAAGAGGATGAGGAGGTGATGAAGAGAGGATGAGGAGGTGATGAGGGAGGATGAGGAGGTGATGAGAGGATGAGGAGGTGATGAAGAGAGGATGAGGAGGTGATGAAGGAGGATGAGGAGTTGATGAGAGGATGAGGAGGTGATGAAGGAGGATGAGGAGTTGATGAGAGGATGAGGAGATGATGAGAAGAGGATGAGGAGGTGATGAAGACAGGATAAGGATTTGATCAGGGAGGATGAGGAGGTGATGAAGACAGGATGAGGAGAGGATGAGGAGGTGATGAAGAAAGGATGAGGAGGTCGAGGTCACCCGAGGCTCAAATGTACACAGGAAGGAATTGTGATGAAAAAGGAAACATAAAACATGCCAGTGTGTCAGATTTCCTGAGTCATATTCTCTCTCTCTCTCTCTCTCTCTCTCCCTCTCGCCTCCTCTGTTTGATTTTCTCTCCATTTTTTTTATTCACCCCTTCCTTCTTACCTATTTTCCTTTTCCATTTCTCCCCTTTTCTAACAATTTATCTTTCTTTTCCCCTCCATCCTTTTCTTCTGTTTTTCAGCTGCTCTTTTTCTCTCTTCCTCTCATTTCATTTTGTTATCCCTCATTTTTATCTCTTTCCCTCGTTCTCTATCATTCTCCCTTTTTATATTTTCTCTTCTAGCTGGCTCCATCTTTCATTTTCCTATATATCCTTCCCTCTGTATATCTCTCTTCTCTCTCTTTCGGCCTATATGTCTCTCTTTCTGTCTGTCTCTCTGTACATGTCTCTCTCTCTCTCTCTCTCTCATGTCTGTTTTGCTCTATTTATGTTTCTTTCTATCTTTGTCTCTCTCTATCTCACTTTGTCTGTCTCTCTTCCTTTCTACCTACCTCTTTCTATCTGTCTGTCTGTCTGTCTCTGTCAGTATTTCTGTCTCTATTTGTCTGTCAGTTTCCCTTCTTCCCTCTTACCAATTTCTTTTTTATTTCTCCCCCTCGTTCTTCCTATTTCTTTCTTTCTCTCCATCATTTTCTTCTGATTTACAATTGCTCTTTTTTCTTATCTCTCCCTCCCCTCCCTGTCTGTTTCTCTCTCTGTCTGTCTTTGTCTTTCTCTGTTTATGTCTGTCTGTCTGTCTGTCTGTCTGTCTCTGTTTCTGTCTTTCTTTTTCTCTCTCTAGCTCTCTCTTTCTGTCTCTCTCTCTCTTCCCTCCATCTTTCTCTTTCATCCTGTCTCTCCTTCTCTGTTTCTCTCCACTTTTCTTCCTCCCTCTCATTTCCCCCCTCCATCTGTCTCTCCCTCTTCTTCTTTCTGTCTGCCATCTGTTATTCCTTGTCCTCCCTTCATTTCTATCTTTCTGTTTCCCTGTCTCTGTTATCACTCCCTTTTTCTCCTCCTGCTCCATTTCCATCTCTTTACTCTCCCTCCATCATTGTCTCTCTGTCTCTCTTTTTCCCTCCTATTCTCTTCCAGCTCCATGTTTTACCCTTCCATCGATTTGCCCCTCGTTTCTCTATTTTTACTCGTTTTTCTCCATTTTTCTGTCTCCTCTCCATTTCCCTTTTCTTTCCCTCTTTCCATCTTTCTTCTCCCTCAGCTTTCTCTCTCTCTATCCCCTGTGTGTTAGCCCCACCTCTCTGTATCTCTCCATTTCTCTCTCTCCTTCTTTCTCTCCATCAGCATTGCTGTATCTTCCATCTCATTTTCCTCTGTGTGGAGGCATCTCTGATCTCAGCGTTCTCATCTAATGGAGCCCCTCTCTCTCTCTCTCTCTCTCTCTCTCTCTCTCTCTCGTTCTCTACCTTGCCGGGAGAAAACAGGCCCATGTGTGGACAAAGCCTGAGCAGTTTTTTCCTTCTTTTTCACGCCGATTTTCCCACAAATGGCACTTCTGACAGGCGTGAAAGCTTCTGTAAACCTCTCTGTCCTGTCATATCACAGCACAACACTTCTCTTTCATTCTCTCTCTCTCTCTCTATGTGTCTGTCTGTCTCTCTCTGTCTGTCTCTCTGTCTGCCTCTGTCCTATCATCATAGCCAAACATTCCCACTCCTTCATTCTCTCTCTGTTTGTCACATCACAGCACAACAGTTCTCCTTCATTCACTTTCTTTCTCTGTCTCTCTCTCTCTTTCTCTCTCTCTTCCTGTCTGTCTGTCTCTGCCCTGTCACATCAAACAGCACAACAATTCTCCTTCATTCTCTCTCTTTCTCTCTCTGTGTCTCTCTCAGTCCTGTCCTGTCTATCTGTCTGTGTCTCTCTATCCTGTCACATCACAGCACAACACTTCTCCTTCACTCACTCTCTCTCACCGTATCTGTGTGTCTCTCTCTGTCCTGTACTATCTGTCTGTCTGTCTGTCTGTCTGTCTCTCTCTGTCTGGTCATATCACAGCCAAACACTTCTCCTTCATTCACCCTCTCTATGTCTCTATGTCTCTCTTTCTCCATTTATCTCTATCTCTTTCATTCACACTCTCTTTCTTTCTGTCTCACTCTCTTTCTCTGTCTCTCACTGTCTCTGTTTCTCTGTCTGTCACTCTGCCTCTCTTTCTACATCTCCGCTTTTTCTATCTTTAGATCTCTCTCTATACCGCCATCCAATGTGAGATGGGGGGAAGGGGGCGGAGCTTCCAGAGGGACAGTTAACTGTCAGTCATTTCAGATTCATATGTTGATTGGCTCATCTGCTGTGTATATTCTTTTATTAAAAAAAACAAAAGAAGAAAAGCGTATTTTTGAGTGAGTAGCAGCGTACTTTGATGTTAAAATGCGGAGTCAGCGTATAAAACGTCGACAGCTCGGCGTTAACTAACAAATAGCGCATAAATACAGAGCTCTTAAGGTTATGGAGAGGGGCGGAGTTAGAGCTCGTAGCATGTCTCGCATTCTTATGCTCAAATGTAGTAACAGGTCGTGAGATCAGGTTGCTTTTCGGAGTCACGAGGTTTACTGACAGGGTAAAGGAGCAAACTCGGGTCTCACACTGACTCACTGTTGATTAATTCGTAGCCGTGAGGTTGCACGGCTTCTGAACTTCCTGTACACAGAGGAAGTGGAGGTTAAACACTGGTTTTGTGTGTTTGGTTCACTTTAGCGCGACGCTGGCAGGTGGCCATTACCTCCCAGCCGTCATTATTAACCTGCCCTTCTTCCTTCTGCTTCTTTTCTTTCCTCCTGTTTCATCGTTTTCATCTTAATTAAAATTCCTCTTCTTTACTAAGACTCCCTCTCTCTCTCTCTCTCTCTCTCTCTCTCTCCCTCTCTCTCTCTCCCTCTCTCTCAAATTCAAAATCCAAACAGCTTTATTGGCATGAATTATAGTTATCAACTGTTGCCAAAGCATCAAGTGGGATAAGGAAACAAAAAAGAACAAGATAACAAGAGTGATAATGGAATATACGAATAAAAAAAATACTAAAACTGAAATAAATTAATAATTAGATAATTAGATAAATTAAAATAAATAAATAAATAAATAAATAAGGAAGCAAACAAATAGATAAATGAAGAAGTTTGTTTCTCAGTTTGTTTCTCTCTTTTTTCCGGGTCTCCTTCTGTCTCTCTCTCTCTCTGCTCCTGTTTCTTCTTCTATCTGTTTCTCTTTTTCTGTCTTTTTCTCCCTCTCTCCCCCTCTTTCTCTTGCTCTCTCAGCCACAAATGTCCTGTGGTGACTATTTGCAAATGCTAATGTTACCCCTCTAACATGCTTAACCCTTCAGGGATTTAATTATCTTAAAAACTTCTTTTTTTTTTCTTTCTGATCTGAAAGCTGCTCAGCACCTGCCCCATTATCCTCATCAGCCGAATATCAGCAGTGATAATTGCTCTGTATCATTTCAAGTCACAACCGCGCAGCTCGTGCGCAATCAACGCCTAAGATAAGGGATTACGGGCCTTGTCCTAAATCACCGCTGCGTCTCCAGCCCTAATCTCTGCTGATAGGAATGGATGGGGTTCGATTCTGTGTGATCATTCATGCTACGGTACAATCTGTGCTGCGATACAATACCCAGACACATGGCCAGACGCTCTGTGCCTCGACTCACATGCGGAGATGATGAAGGAGGTGCTGAAAGGAGGAAGAGGAGGTAAAAGTTACTTCAACATTTATAGAGAAAGTTGCGTGTATTCAGAGTCGGGTTACGCACGTGCTTAAATGGATTTTCTGAGCTCCACATTCATATTATTAAAATCTCCAGCATGTGGCTCACGCCTCCGAGGATGCCAGTTTTTCTGTTTTCAGTAGAAGTGTCCCAGACAACAACGTCTAGACCTCCGCCTTTAAACAAAAGCACTCGCTTCTGAACATGAAAACATCAAGGATAGAAAATGTGAACTGAAGAAGAAAATTGCATTTTTCCCCCCTTGTTATATGATGTAGCATAAAAGCAAGAGACAATTAATGAAAAATGAAAAATAAACAAGACTAACACATCCAGATTTCAGAATTAAATCCTCACTACACTCTTAAATGCGCACTAATTTTAAAGACTTGTTTCCGGTCAAAGCTCGGGGTCCCCGGAGGACTAGTGGTTAAGCCTCGGCGCTCTTGCCTCTGCGGCCCAGGTTTGAATCCAGACCAGGGAACCAACCCTAGCCATTGGGGTTGCACAAGACAGTGCACTCCAGTGCTGGTCCCAAGCCTGGATAAAACTGGGAAGGGTTGCGTCAGGAAGGGTATCCGGCGTAAAAAAACGTTGCCAAATCAAATATGCGGACCAATGATCTGCTGAGGCTAACGCTAACAGGAACAGCCGAAAGAACAACAAGAATAACATCCGGTCAAAGCTCAAAGTCTTTAAAATCTAATCGTAATATTAAAATTTCTAACACACTTTAAACAAAACTCTATTTTAACCATTAACCCCTGTCTGAGCATCTGCCCTGCTTCAACTGAGTGCAAAAGTTTGCACCCCCCCCCCCCATGGTTTTTGAATGGGGAAATAAAGGAAAATGTATCCTTTTTTTTTTTTGTTTACAAGTTATCTACGAATAAGTAAAATTGAAATTAATTAAAATGAAATTTACCCTGCAAAGAAGACAACAACTGTCACATTCAATTCCACCACTGAGCCAGTAGCTACCTCTCCTGATACCAATTCGGTCCGGACATTACGACTCTCGCACTCCCCTGAACACTAAAACACCTGTTTCTAGTTGAATTTCAATCAATCTGGCTAGTTATACCGCTTTCACACGTTTGTTTCTATGTGAGGTTTTGTTTTCATAGTTCATCCTGGCTTCTTTGTTCATGTGTTTGGTTCATAGGTTCCTCTCCTGCCTCATTTTTTTTTCTCTCTTGAACAATAAGGTTTTAAATAAGGTGTTCCCAAAATACTAAAAAAAAAAATTGCTTATAGATGTTTAAAGGTAACGGATTTTCTCCCCGTACAAGATGTTTTCAAATCCAGTTAAATCAGTTGTGGTATAAGAGGACATGCTGTAATAGGAAACTAATCAACAACAGGGTGGTGGTAGTAGTAGCTCTGCTTCATCTCATAAATTAATTCATCTTTCTAAGATTTCTGTGTTATCATATTATTCTGTGCTTCCAGTCAAGAAGAAGAGATGGTTTTAGTAAAGAATGGTGTTGACTTAGAAACGTATTTGTTATATTATTAAATAAAAATCTTTATAATGCCCTGACATGACAGACATGCTTGTTCCCATCATCATCATCATCATCATCATCATCATCATCATCTATTTAGAGTAGTAGTCCTGATCTGGAAATTACAGTGCCATAACTATCGCAACCTTCAAATCTCAACCTTGGGAAATAGAGTGTGAATTTTGGACTGCCCGGTCTCAGGGATATTGATCTTGGTGTAGCATTGATGAGCGTGATGGCACCCGGCTGTCTGGATTTCATAAACAGCGTATGAGCTGCTTAACACGCAGGGAGGCTGCGCTTATTATCGACCTGTCGTGTATAATAAAGAGGTTGGGACGAATTCGGAACCTCTCGGCAGTCAGCAGGCGTTCGTCACGGACGGTCAGGGACCGCGTTTTATTTCTCATCACGTCAGCGCAAAGCCGAGCTGATGGACTTTAGAGGACTCGCGGGTTTTCCCAGTCATGTTGTGCTCGTGTTCGCTGTTGTCCTGAGATTAGCGGTCATGTTTGTTAACGATTGTTTTTGAGCTGTTTTACATGATTGACAGCTACGTTTCATCTCAATTGGGATCCAAAAGTCATTTAAGGTCATCACTTATCACAAATTATCCAGGATGCTTCATTTACAGCTGAGACAAATCTAACTTTGTAAACTGAGAAATCGTCGCATGAAGTGGAAATCGATTTTCCTTCTAAGTAGAGGACTCTCACACGCTCTCACTTCGGCGTTAAGGGAGCAGTTAATCAGCTAATTTTTAAACTAAACATTGACTGGAAAAGGGGTGGAGCCAAGGAGCCCAGTTACAGTGAGGGGAGGGGCTAATTTTCACACCAGTTACTGTTAAGAAGTTGAATATTTTCCTATAAATGTGTGTTTATTCCTTTTATACCACAGCGATTTATTGAACAAAACATCATACATTTTTTGTACTTTTATTTCCTTTTAAAAAACAAGTTAGTTCCTGTTGTCACTTACATTATAGCAGCTATAAACAGTCGTTCCCTCATCAGCCTCTCTTTTTTTCTCTCTCCTGAAGTTAATACGACAAAAACGTATTGTTACCGAGAAACCGCAAAGCGTAAACAACTCTGTCCTGAAGCTGTTGTTAAACTTAGCTACAGTTTTACCTCTGAGTGTTACAAAGCACTGACACTGGAGACTCCTTCAATAGATGTTAAACAAACATCTCCTCAACAATCAACTTTTTTTTTTTGGTTACGTATTTTCAATCCATTTAGGTCGAGCGTGCACCATGAATGAGCTGTTACTATAGAAACGATAACATTAGAACGAGTGCATTAATATAAACCTGTGATTTGCAACTGCACTAATGTCAGAGCTGCTGTTCTAGAAAATTAATCAACACCTTCTGGCCAATCACAATCCCGAACTCATCATCATGTTGTTTTTTTAGTGAAGCAAAAGCCATTAACAGCACACAAACACTCTTTGTTTTTCACTTACAACAAACGCCAATGGGTTAGTAAATCCATTTGCATACAACAAAAACTTAGCATTAGCATATCTTTTACCTTTTTATTAGCAATGTGGCTAGTAGTAGATCGGATACTAATCACTTTCTTTACGTTGCATCACACAACATGGAGCTCAAACTTTCTATACTTTAGTCTTTATGTAAGCACGTTAACCCTGTGTTGCTAAAAAACATGGAAACTTGCATCATGACTTAAAATTATGATGCTGTTTAAGGCAGGAAACATTGCATTAGCACACACATCGGATGTTGTGTGCGTGCGTGTGTGTGTGTGTGTGCGTCACGTTCGGTGGGCAGAAACACACGGGTCGCCACCTTTTAGCGCACCAGTCTGCTGTCTGCATTTAGCGACACAGCTAACACCCTTGAGTCTGACGTTACACACACTCACACACACACACACTCACACACTGACTCAGCTCACGAGGAAGTGAAAATTGATCTATGCTCACATGTTCAGACACACCATCCACACGTGCTAATGTAAATAGTGATAATAATAATAATAATAATAATAATAATAATAGTACTGATTTCACTCTTCTAGTTTGCTTCCTGTTTTCCAGCTCCACCCTGAAGAACACATCCCTGCTCACAGTTTACACCTGTGCTCGTAATTTGTCTCATCAACCTATGTATGCTCGACGGCCACATTATTAGGAACACCTGTACCCCTGTATTATCCCATCAGCCGATCATGTGGCAGCAGGTCAAGAGCATCGGTTAATTTTCACATCAAATATCAGAATGGGGAAAAAAAATACCTGTGGCAAGGTTGTTGGTGCTGGTTTGGGTATTTCAGAAAATCTCCTGGGATTTTCAGACACAACAGTTTAAAAAAAAAACAAAAACATCCAGTTCTGCAAGCGGAAATGCCTTGTTGATGAGAGAGATCAGAGGAGAACGTCCAGACTAGTTTGACTTTGATAGGAAGGCTACGGTGACTCAAAGAACCACTCTGTACAACCGTGGTGAGCAGAAAAGCATCTCAATACATCTAACTGAGCTACAACAGCAGAAGACCACACCGAGTTCTGCTCTTCTCAACCAAAGAACATGTCTTTCGCTGCTGTAGTCTCTGAAGTGTTGTGCTGAAGTACATGAGATGCTTTTCTGCTCATCACGGTTGTAAAGAGTGGTTATGTGAGTTAATGGCGCCTTCCTGTGTTCTTTGCTAGGTCTCGATTGATGGAATTAGCAAATGGGAGCGATATTCTCTGAAACGTATCGTGATTTATTGTCAGATCAGTATCGTATCAGCGTATCACCCAGCGTTGATTAAGCCAAAAGCTTGTGGTTTTTTTTTTTTAAATGATGTTTTAAGCAACTGGTCAATTAATATTGGCACCCCAAATCGAAATTTCTTCTTAGGTTCTTTATCTCTGTCTGTCCTGACTTCCTGGATTTCTTGTTTTCTGTTTTTTAATTCATCATCCGAACAGTGCTCTCTGGTTCAGACCCTATTCTCTCTGTCCGGATTAGCTCTAAGACTCCCATCCAGCTACACAGGTCCAAGTTACTTTCCTAAAGAAAGAAAGAAAAAAAAATCAGCAGCAACATGCCCTTTACACACAAGATGAAGAAAACAAATCATGTTTTCAGGTGACACTTGGCTGGAATCCCTGCTATGAGCTGCTGGAGCACTAAATCTCTCCTCCCAGGCGATGTGGAGCAAACACAACGAAAACTAGCAAACCGAGATCGATGCCAAGTCATGCTATTGGTTTGTTTGCTGTTCGCCAAACACAGTCAAGTCTGTTTATGAAACTAATGATGAAACGTTTTTGGATACCTCGATTTTGTTTGCGTGACGACTATTACCATTTATAAGAGACTTTCCCAAAAGCTCATTGTTAAATGGTCGAGCGAGCATCACATTGAACTCTCTCTCTCTCTCACACACACACACTTTTTGCACCACTTTTGGAAACTCGGCTAACAAATCTGCACCATGTATGTAGGCCTGGACTATATGATGATATTGATATTGTGACAAATTGTCACAATACGCGTATCACAATATCACAATATTGTGATTTTTTTTTTATTACATTATTAAAATTATTTTACAAAAATATATGATGTGACTGCGACAGCTACTTAGCAACCGGCGATCAGCCATATGATGGATTTGGAGCTAGAATGATTTGCAGATTGCGTGGGCGTTTACTGACTGTTGTATAATAAGCAGTGCAGCATGAACGAATGATAAACTGGCACGTGGTGATGACACACGGCTGATACTGATATCGGTGCATTCACCGTCTGATATCACTACTATGACTCGTACTGTCCTGTTGCAGAACCACGGAGGATGAAAAAAAAAATCAATACTGCGCAGAGCAAAGCTGATAGCAGTGCATGAGGTAATGCAAAACGCAGTCGATACCAATACTGTGCAGCACCAATGCATTATCTTAGCACTCGTACCGTACCTTCCATAAGTATTCACCCCCCTTGAACACTTCTACATTT